GAGACAAAAGATCTGGACAGGTTTGACAACGAGTTTCGGATAACCAAATAGGGAACTTCTCGTTCCTGTAATGGCAGGTGTGTGTCGACGTCGAGGTATGAAAAGCTCACCGCCCAAAAAACCTTTCAAGATAGCTTTTTACGGAGCTAGAACTTCCCCGCTGGCAGCGTGGACTAAGACTTTGGCGAACGTTCCAATGAAGTAGATAGCTGGCCTTTGTCATTTGTCTTAGTCCTGCCCATTAGTCTATGGATCATTGACATTTGCTAAATCCATAGGCGTATTAGCGAAGAGACGAGAGACAGGGCTGGGGCTATGGGGCTGGGGTGTGATGCCATTGTTGCTGTGCTGCGTGACATAGCGCTTTGTGCTCTCCTCTGACGGCTCGCCCATATCTCTTAATCTTTGCGCTAAGTGGCAGCAGCCTTATCGGTTTTCTGAACTTACGTGCCGACTTCACTACCCCCCTCCGATGCCCCAGACACACTGTCACTCAGAAACAATGAGGTCCAGCTCAAAGACCATTTGAGAGCTGTACGAAATCAATGAGTTTAAGTGTTCAGTAAGGCCAGTTGGATGTGTACGGACCATGGTAGCTGATACTTAATCATGATGGAGCGACGGCATTACCAACGGCTAGAATTAAGCTCCTGTTTGGTGTTGAGGGTATCCTATTTACGCCAACAGGGCGGCCGACTTTAACCCCCATGAGAGTGCTTGACGATTTTTCATAGCGGTCACATCTCCGATTGTCACAAAGTCTATGAAATATGTTCATCTCATCGAACAACTCACAACAGCAAACGTCGTAGGCACATTTCTTTCGCTTCTATTTCCACAATTTTCGGGAACTTTCTATTTTGCTAACTTTTTCGTTCTTTTTTCACTCGTACAATTCCTCCGAGGTGCTGGCCTCGCTGTAACGAGGCTAAACAGGCTTGTCTGGGATTTCGAGTTTTTACCAAGTTTGTTTCCCTTCCTGGTAAGTAGTGATCATGGGTTCAATGGGTAGGTATCATATTGTCGAACTACGAATTTCGGTACATACCCCTTTCACTCCCAACTGATGCTTTCTCCGTCTGTAAGGCTATAAACTTGGGAGAATCAAAGAAGTAGCGGTCGTTTACAGATGATATATTCTCCTCTCCACTTCTTGGGTACAGCTGTTTGATCCCTCATGCACAACTGGTACGTAGGCAGTCAGGTCTGTCAAAGAGCAGCAGGAATAGGTCGCTCTGCTATGCATTTTCACCGGCTCCCGTGAAACTAGAGGGCTGGTCTGGGAGGCCTGTTTTCGGACGAGCACTTCTAGTAAATCTCCCCATTCTTCCCGGCTTTCTGTGATTTTCTGCAGTTTTCCATGTGCTCTTATGAATTTTCTACTCTGTTTCACTCCAAACCCGATGGTTACAGTGCCAAAAAAGCTCTTCGTTTTCTCTTGTAATATTTGCCTTAACCTTTACGAAATTGATTTGTTCTGAGAGCTGGCTGATTTTTCGCGACCTTACAACCTTTCCAATAAGGCATTTGATAAAAAGACTCAATCAGATTGTTGAAGGAGATCGACAAAAAAGTCATTGATTATGAAAAAATTTTGAATTGAAAGAAATCGACAAAAAAGTCATTGATTATGAAAAAATTTTGAAAAATCAGCTGCTGCTGCAGTATACGAATAGCTACTTTAAGAGGGTAATGAGTGAATAATAGTTATCCAAATTGTTAAATATTTTTGGTAGTACCCCAAAAATACTTAACAATCCGAATAACTATTAATCACATGGTACTCTCTTGAAGTAACTCTTTCATTTTCTGACCATTCTAGGCAAAATTGCATGTCCTTAATGTTATATTCATACAAGGACACTAGAAAGTAACATCTATTTGTTATTAATACCCTTACATTGAACGCGGAAACGACAGGATCTGAGGAATTTTCCTTTCGAGGGTTCTGGTTTTCTTTTCCTGACGTGGCTTGGAAATACCATGAACGAGGGATTTGCGGGTAATTATTATGCATTTTCTAGACTTTCAGTCAGGCCTTAACCTTTTACGGTCACTTAGTACTGCCGACAAGGTGACAAGGTGAACGTGTATTGAGGTATTCGCTTCTATAGCTTCGCAAAAGCGGAAGTGAAGTAGTGCCAAGTGGAACGCTACCGCGAGCATGATCAAGTGATCGAATCCTGACAGCATAATTGACCCACTAAAGCTTGCTTCTTCGCGTGATTTCAAACTGCCTTATTGGTCAGAGAAACTTTGCCTTCCCAAGTAACTTTGTTATCAAAGTGATTTTGGGGTGATAACTTCGAGCCAGAATCAATGGTGGATTTCTTCAGTATCATGAGAAGGAAGAAGAGACCCTTCTCCCTATTTTTTTTTCATGTACACAAAAAAACCACTCAAGTTTTTATCCCTTCGGACTCAACGAGGTGCTGTTGGGCTGAAATGAAATAGCAGAAAAACGATTCTTCCACACCTCATCCTTCCCTTCAGAAGGTCCTTAGAACTATCGGCGAAGGAGAGACTGAGCCCTGCCCCAGCTTCTTGCATTGATGCATTATGTAGGTCGATTATTCATTCAACCGCCCCTACAATTTTGAATGGATGTTGAATGCGCTCCTCATCCAACGAAGCATCAACTGCCTATACGCCGCTTGCTCATTGGTCTGCCAGATGATATTGAGAATCATGTTCGAGGGAAGGGCTTGTCCAAATCCCGTATCTCCTGAAGACCAAAAGTATAAACTGAAAAAGGGGCTATTTCAGAGAAGTTCATCAGAACAAAGCAACTCATTACAATGTGGCATGTTGGAAATTGCAGTTTTTATTCATACTTGGCTGATCAATATGGGTAATTGGAGGATCTCCCAGGGCCTACCAACGCATATTCCTTGGGGGAAAGGTCCGCCCGTTTGCGGCTTGAATGCAGTGGTCATTAGGAATCATATAGGTGTGAGTAATAGTGTACACACACGTACACTACCACCCTCGAACCTCATGCTGCTGCTGATAATTACCCATGAAAGTACTTTCTGCGGACACCATTCATCTAGCCGTTCTAGGGTGCATTCAATTTCGAATTTCTCAGTAAAAGCAAAAAAATCGTGGAGTGGAAGAGCCCAATCTGCTGGAACTTTCTCTTTCTGTCTTAATTCTTTCTCGAGCATCCCCCTCCCTAATACCTCCACAACGTCATCTATCCAATTAGCTTTATCCGTTTATCCGAACTGCTAATTCGTTGGCTTGACCTTTTACTTTCTTCACTCTCTTCCTACTTGCCTCCATCCTTTACTGTTCGTTCCTCATTACTCAGTATTACTCGATTGGCTCGATTTGGTTCCACTTACTTTACAAATACTTTGGCTGCCGTCCTGAACCGTAGTTGACTTACAATTAGGGGAGTGCACAAATGAATACAGATATCTGAGTTCCAGAGAGTACAGATAACAAAGCCTATCATGACATGAGGGCTCTTTCTTAATTAATCCTTTCTATCACGTATGTCCTTTTTAATTTTTGACTTGAAGTACGACTTTTTTCGCTATAAGGAATAGACCGCTGCTTCGGAATTGGAGCTTTTTCCTGTTACTCAACCCTGCTGAGAAAGTTGTTATCCTGTAGTTTACGGCCATCTTTCTTCGTGGTCGCAACCAGAGTAATCCCTTTACGATAGAGCATCGAGTTGACATCAGGTTATCTGAAAAGCCTTCATGACCCTCAAAAGCGTGGCGCATTCCAGCGAGAGATAGACCAGCAACGAGCTCCTATGTTTTTTACCAAAAATTTTTATTCGCATTCCAGAAGAAAAATGTATCCTGTTTTGGAAAAAAGAAATGTTAGGGTTAAACATAATAGCCTCTATATATTTTTCTTTTTTCCTGAAATTCTATTTTTTCAGAACAAATTCAAATTCTAAGTTGCACTTTTTTTTGTATTCAGAAAATCTCGAGATTATGGGGATGGCTTATACTGTTTTCAATTTGTCTTGTCAGCAAGTGTTCACAGATCAGATAATATTTCAATGCCACCCACGAACCAATGACCAGAGTTAGCTCCCAAAATAAATTCTAAAAGATAAAGTTTATGGGGCGTTGATCAATCCCGTGTGAAGGATGTGGTTCCGCATTCGACTTCCATGCATAAATAAGTGTTTTCTACTGAGCAGCTTCTCTCTGGGATACGCCACACACCTGGATTTCACTAAGAATCATATTGACATTCTCAATCTCTTAAGCTTACTCAATGTCCTACGTAGACAAATTAATCTGTAAGTAGACGCCTTCAACTCTCCAGACGAATCGTGTGGTCAATAAATCAGCTTCGAAGGTTGGAATGTCTGCTTATCTGACTTGAATTCGGTCGAAATTTGAATCTTTGCCGTGACAGCATGCTTGCATGTTCCTTGTCGTTCACTATTCTCTTCTATGTAGCGATTCACTTTTTCAATTTTTTACTCTTCTTAGCGGTTAGATCTTCAAACTTAACGAACTATTTTTGCTCCGTCGAAGGTTCGCAATTTTTCAACCTTCCATTTGATTTCTCCCTTGATGCTATTCAATTACTATTCCCTACAACCTGGGATCCCGCAGCTGACGGGGAATTCTCTAAAGCGGCTACACTTTTGAGACTACCGTACTGAGCAGCAATCATCACGTTTAGTACGGCGTAACTCAGACGATTCCTCTTATGTAGTAGCAATTCAGAGCGCTTTCATCGATGTTTGCTCTTCTAACCTGGCTATATGACAATTTCTGAAGAATACATTGCCATTTTGCCATTTTAGGAATTCTTCACCAACAAAAAAAATTACTGATCATTCGAATGCCTTCAGATCCTCATTCTCATCCTTCGAATCTTTGTTCTCATTCCTATCGTAGTTTTGATGATTTTCAAAATACTTGCGTATTTTTTTCGTTGTTGGATCACATTGGAGCTCGTTTCAAGGTCAACTAGTTGTTTCAGTGTGATTTTTAATTCATGATTTCAGTTAGTATGTTGTGATGCTTCCGGTCACTGCATTCCTCGTCATTGTGCGAACCGGATGTGCATTTCTATTCAATTCACAGACTGACATTGCTCATTGCTACGAGTTGGACTTGGAAAATTGCTTTCGCGAGGCTTTTTTGGTGAGTTAGTCACCCAAGACTGGGTAACAAAGGGAGCGCATCATAGATATTCGATTCTGAAATCAAAATAAGTAGGTAATTCCTCATTGTGCTTTGAATCACATAGAGTTTTAGGCTGCAATACATCCTCCGATCAGAGGACGACGAGCAGCCCCACCATTCCACTCAGCCAACGTCAGTGTCCTAGACAAACGGAAAGCAACTGGTGAGTCATAAGGGTACAAATTCTGGGTAGCGTGATTCCCCTTTGGTTCACGCCATACATTCGACTTCCTTTCAGAATTGCAGTAGCATTTGAATCCGTTTTCGACCCATCGACTGGTTTGCGGCTGTCTTAGCCGATGGTGAAACTCAGGTTTAACCATACCTAGACTAGGGCAGTAATATCATAAGAAAGAAAGAAGTAATCGTTTGACCAGAGCTGAATTTGTTTCATGAACTTTATTGCCTACAATTCGTTAGGATACCTTGGCAAAATCATGACTGGAAAGCTATTGGTACTCTTGAAGTAGTATCAGCCCTTCAGTCGACAACAATATGCCTTTTTGAGGGTGATGCTGAACGGTTTTGTTGAAAATGGCTACTTAACATAAGAGAAGTTCTTTTTTTTAGCACTACAATACTCTCTACATGAAGGGATACAATTTTTTTGCTGTTCTTTCCATAGAACAAAATTGTCTCGAGATCCGATCTCGGTCAAATCCTTTATCAAGACCCCTTATCTTTACTTGAATAATTTCTAAAATAAAAAATAAAAATAAATAAAAAAAATAAAAATAAAATAAAAAATAAATAAAAAATAAATAAAATAAAAAAATAAAAATAATTTCAAAGCAAAAACGGGTTCATCCTTAGATGTAGAGCTCGCCCTAAGATGTTCAAGATAGCTGAACTTCCGATGAGGCGAATAGGTAAGAGTATGGAACCTGACAAATGGAAGTGGACGAGTTATCTCACCACAAGTTAGATTCGCTGTCGTTTTCATTCTCTCAATTAGGGTAGGAGGGCGTGTAGGGAAAAGCACGAAGTGATGTTTCCACGGTATCGGGATCAGATCAAATCTGAAGCCAAAACCCAGCCTAATCTACAGAATCATTCATATTCACAGCTGACATGGGCAACAGAAGTGCCGGTTCGTACATTGACTGACATCCGCAAGTAACTTTCGTTTGTGAAATTCGCATTAATCACCACTGAGTATCCCGAAACCAGTATTACTTTTCTGAAATTTCTTGATTCTTCACGGGTTTGGGATGCCAATTTGTGTGGGCTGTCTGTTTTTTTGCCGCTCTTTCGACTCATTTGTATATCTCTGTCTACCGTTGTACCTCAACGAGTTGCTTCACCCTTGAGAAGTTCACACGCTGGATGGTTACGGAGCATGAAGGCGATGAATTTTTCATTCGAAATACTTAAATTTTCAGAATTATAAGTCCTGCAACAGTTTCCGATAAGTAGGTTACTGAATTATTGATAGTAAGAACCTCTTTGCATNAGTTCCGAATTGAACCCTCCTCGCACTTTCGAGCTCAGATCCTTTACTGGTCAATCTATAACAAAACTTAGGGTTTCAAGTTAAGATTTCTCATACGTCTTTCTAATGAAAACCAGTAGTAATTCAGAAAATAGGGCAGATAGTTGTCCAAGGTCTAGAAATAGGACCATATTTGCTGCTTCGGGCTTGCAGAAAAGCTTTTCTTCGGGTAACCCTTAGTAGAGTATGTAATGTCTTTGTTTAGACACGGCAAATCTGATGTTATGCCATGATGTGCGCAGATTCTCTCTATGTTTCCACTATCCAGGATGTACTGAACAAGTTGCGGCCGCTGTGAGTCGCTACTGTTTTCAGCCTAAGTAAAAGTCAATCATAGTTCTATTTATTCCAGATTGCATCCGTACAGTACCATATGGTCTTCGGTAAGAAATTACCACTTCACGTCTTTCTTGCCTATAAGGGCTATGGTAGGCAGGTGAGGACTCATAAAACTTCTTTTATCACACCCTCATTTTGGCGGGTCTCTTGTGCTGCTTCAATCAGTAAAAGTGAAGTAACGAGTAGATTCGATGAGAAGAAGTCAGTTGAAGAAGGATTTTGAGAGTCCTCAATTGAAGGTAGTAGACCCTTCACCAATTTTTCTGGGGGTGCGCCATGCCTTCTACCCTCGTCGTTACTCGAGTCTGCGTTTGCTTGTGTATTTGAGCAGGACAGTACGAAGGCCACATAATCTACCGTCCATATTCTTATTTTTCCATCCGTGCCCTTTACGCATTACCCAAAACTACCCAAATCTGCGAGAAAAGATCAGGGTAGATCGTAAGAAACGGAAAAGTGGAGAAAACAATGCTCCGCCAAATCCTAAATATCCTTGCTTTCTAATCAGAAAATAGCCAATGGACTCTGTTGACAACAATGTGATTGCAGATATGTGAACAGACGTGTAATCGAGATGCGATGTTGATTTGTCGAAGGACAATGACGGATGATGAGCAACAAAAAGAACAGGTCAGAGAGAGGCCTATTCAGCGTCACATACATGAACATTTACTTAAATGTGGAACTATCATTTTTGATCAGCTTACTCGAGTTCGCTTCGCATAAGTTATACGAAGAAAGAAATCATTAGCCAACGGTTAGGGGACCTAGGGCACCTGCTTTTAATGAAAGTGCTTCATTCTTTTATCATTTTTACCAGTTGGGCTACGCACGCTAATGCGCGCACCACATGCCCACTACCGCTTACCTACGACTTGTTAGAGGACCAGGTGAAAATGTAGTTGGGGGGGGCCACCCATCCGAAGGTCAGTATATCAAGAAATGAACTCAGTCTAACGTGTAAACCCTTGTTATATCAGCACTGTATTGGATGCGTAGAGGATGACTGGAATCAACCAGCTCAGCTCTTTTATGCGGTTTCCGCTAAGGAAATTTAGTTTGCCAAATAAGCCTAGGTAGGGTAGGAGCACCTGGGTGGCTAGGATGATTATCTCCTGCAAAAAAAAAGGAAGAAAAGAAAGAAAACTTGCCCACCGCGGTGCTCCTTCCCTACGAGAGCCCTTATTCAAAAACAAGCATGTCCGTGATATAACACGACATAACGCGTTTCATTGA